ACAGTATGGATCTATTTCACCTGACAGGAAATCTTTGGGAGTGGCCGATGAACTAAATCACCGGCTTACTAGCTATCAATCAATGCAGAATTAACGGTCGTGCATCACCATTGCACCGGGCTCCAAGAACAATCTGGGTAATGTATACATGGATGGATTCTCCTCCATCGTTCATACACAAAGATGCACAAACACAACCCAATACTGCAAATAGTGAAATCGGCAGTTGGAGTTAGAAACCAGCCGGCCCTTTGCTGACTCTAAAACAGCGAGACCAGCTAGATGCTGGCTCCAATGCCTGGTAAGCACAGGGAACCCAAAACAAGAACTCTCCAGCAGATAGATAAAAGCAGAGAGAGCTAGAGAAAGAGAACGCAAGACACAACATCACGCAGAGCTTTTTGTCAGCTGAGCAGTCAATATGAAAGTCACTGAAGCACAAATGATTTCACTCTCTAAACGTCAACCAAAGAATCAAGGAGCCTACACATCAACCTTCATCGCTTAGCCTGTCAATATCCAAGTCTAGCATAAAAAAAACAAAAAACAAAACTGGGATTTACGCTGGATTAGCATGCAGTGTTTTCCAGACAATAGGCCTCTATTTCACTAATCAACAGCCTTCAGGAACAAAGTAAAGGCAAAGCAAGGCAGTGTTTTCCAAAGCATTAGGGGAACAGAGCGGTGATTCAGCCTGTGTTAAGTCAGTGCACTGGCAAAAACACAAATTAAACATATTCAGCTTTGTCAAACAAAGCTACACGATTTTGAAATGCAAGAAGGCTGCGACTGCAAATCCCAGCGTGATGGAGACATTCAAGTTCTACATTTTAATAAGGGTTTTAATAAGTGTTACCTCAGTCTCTAGGCCATCGTGACACAGATTAGAGGCTCGTGAAGCTAATATAGGATATAATGCAGCCTAACAGTGCATGGAGTTCAACTCAGTGTTTGACAGAAAGTAAAGCTGAATGGGAATTCTGAGAGAGTAAATGCACACATACACCAAATACAAATCCAGAATCCACAATGCAAATGTTCCACCTTCTGCATCTATTGTATGTTTCTTGCCCTCATCCTGTCATCCCACGGCTACCAGAGCTGTTCATAGGATGTTTTAGGGAAGAAATCTAGTGAAAGTTGTGAAACTCAGCTTCTCAGATCTTCCATAGACGCTAAAATGAGAGCGGTTCGGCCCTGTAGCTAACTGCATACACCACCGTGTTAGCCAAAACTTTTAGCCATTAAGAGCACGTTTTGTGTTGAGGTAAACAACACACAAGGCTGAGAAAGTCCAACTGAGAAGTAGCTTCAGTCAGGTTTATATCATGCATAATGATACAATCATTACAATACAATACAATTTTATTTATATAGCACATTTAAAAACCCGAAGGCATGCCAAAGTGCTTCACAGTAATATGGAGAGTCAACATAAGTCAATAACAGGGTACAAATCGGGCACAAGCACAGACAGGATAGAGGCGCAGAAGACAAAAACAGCAGTAAAATTAATAAAAAAATAATTAATTTAATAAAATCTAATAAAAGATTTAAAAGTTTAAAAATTAAAAGATTTAAAAGGGTATTAACTGGTCGGGAAAGCCAAGTCAAATAGATATGCTTTTAATCTTGATTTAAAGGACTGGATAGAGTCCAAGGCTCGAATAGAAGCAGGGAGGCTATTCCAAAGGTCGGGTGCAGCTGAAGCAAAGGCACGATCGCCTCTGGTCTTCAGTCTAAACTTAGGTTGGGCCAGGAGTAATTGACCTGATGATCTTAATGCACGACAAGGAGTGTACAAATTGAGGAGGTCAGTGAGGTAGCTGGGCGCAATGTTATTCGGGATTTTAAAAGTGAGTAGCAAGATTTTAAACTCAATGCGATATTTGATTGGTAACCAGTGTAGATCAACAAGAGCCGGAGTAATAGGGCCAAATTTTCTAGTGCCAGTAAGAAGGCGAGCCGCAGCATTCTGAACGAGTTGCAGCCTTCGAAGAGAGAAGGCTTGAAGACCACAGTAGAGAGAATTACAATAATCTAACCTGGAGGTCACAAAAGCGTGGATACATTTTTCCAGCCATGTGTCCAATCATTAGCCATGTGTCCATGTTGTTCATGCTAATTAGCCATGTGGAGGTGTTAAGGATGTTAATCCGGTGAGCACTGTGGTGTTTGAATATTCTTCATGTAAAGCGTGAACTAGAGTTGCATCAGGATAACAGGGTTTGTCTGTCTGTCATGATCAAATCATGGTGAAATCAAAACAAATGATGAGTTTTTCCTTAGTCTTCCCACCACCTTCCAGAATGAACTAAATCTTGGATTTTAGGCTCATTGATTGCATAGAACCGTAGACACTGTGCACAGGGAAGGTTGGGCCACAACCTGGATTCCATACTTTTGATGCTTCAGCCCCGATAAGAACACTCAATATTTCAAGACTGCTTCAGGCCCCATCTTACACCTGACAAAGAAATCGTCATACACGTGGTCTACAAGTAGTGAGTAAACACGCCTGCTCTTCTGTGACAAGGGAATATATAGAATATGCATTCCACTATTTGTACTGCATCACTGCAAAAGAGTATATGTGACTTGTTGTATGCAAGCTGCACATGAAGGTGGAGTTTGAAAGCCAGAGTGGGACAGGAGTTAGAAAGCTACCTTTGGGCCACGTGAACGTGTGAGTAAGAGCTGACGGGGCTTTGGCTGTGTAGAGGATTAGATCAGAAAGCCAACCAGAATTACTGGGGTGGCCATGTGTGTGTGTTTATGTGTATATGTCAGGACAGGGCCTAATCACTTAATGAACATGGAAAAGCACAACTCCTCTGAGCAGGATCGCCAGATCTACCAGAGGGCTTCCGCTTTCTCCCCTCCAATAATACCAGCCAACCATAGCCTGGGAAAGCTCACAGAGGACTTTGCTCATTGGACAGTCTCAGCTGCCACTTGCGGTTAAGACCAGCCCATTGGGTGCACTCGGTTGCCAGGCCAACCCTTTCCGTGGGGCCTGGGAAAAAGATCTGACAGATTAACAAATGGTAAATGGGAGAATGGGATATTAGGCAGTGTCATTAATCTGAATAGGTTTGGCGTGGACCAGCACCACAGATGCCAATAACCAAATGAATTTTCTAACAGAGAACATGGACAAACACATAACGCTGGGCCTGGTTATTTCAGTGCATATGAGCCTCGAGATGTAATTGAAAAACCAGAGCAAAAGCATTCGAACTACATGACTGTTATTCAATTAGAAAAAGACTGAAAAAATGTTTTAAAAAGTAAAAACCTTTTGATAAATTCAGCCCAAATAAGTTTGATAAAAGTTATATTTTCCCAAGCTGACCTGTAGCTTGCATACTCCATACTAGACTTCAGAGGAGAGTACGAAACGTTCATCGAAATCTGCCCCAGCATTCACATAAATACACACTGTGCCATAGAGGATTAAAGGGACAACATATGATTAAATATCCAGCCATGGAACCAGCTCTGTACCATCATAAACACACATTAGGGACTCATGAGAGCTATTTAAAAGTGAGTGAGGGGTTCCTGTAAACACAAATGATAAAATAGATAGGTGTCAGGAAGATGTGAATACTGCGTTTATTATTCGGTTGTTTTAAAAATCAACTGCTGCATAAACTTTAACTACGACTAATAGATCACATGGAAATCATTATGCATCGCACTGTGCTGGTTAGCAAACTTTTATTGAATCCACCTGTGGGCGTCAGGGTGCGAAACATGACTCGTTCAAATATCTTCTGCAGTTAAAGAGGGATTATGAAGACGTGCTCCCTCCCCCCTCAGACCCACTAATGAACAGTGAGCGCTGGTCAGGTGACTAAGTGGTCATTTTAAGAAAGCATACTGTCTGAGAGCGCGCACAAACATTTGCACATACACACAGGGTTGCTCAGCATGACCAGCTGGACGGGCTAGGGGAACTGACGCCTGTTGTAGCCATTTTAGACAACAGATGGGAAGAAAAATCTACAGAGAGATAGTAAAAGAGCAGAAGAAAAAGTCCCACTCCTTCTCTCATTCTAAGTGCTGCTGAGCTTACAGAGCATGCTGCATCACTCCTGCTATTTCTGCCTACACAGGGCTGTGCCTGCCTCTCCTTTCACATGGCTCCACTGGCTGCATGTACTTGATCGCAGAGGATTCTCACTGTTCAGGGGGACGTACTGGACAGTGATGTGCTGCTGCCTTGTGGGCTACTCATCACCTAGCGTGAAATATTATGGAATCGAGACCTGCTGATTGGAGAGAGCATGTGCCATGCAACTTTAGAAACTGCAGTGTCATTGCTGTCTAGGTTCAGATAAAGCATGTGACTCTTATAGGAAGCCCAGCCGCATCTCCTGGCTGGGGGTGTATGAATATACATCAGCGTGGCTCTTATTTCCCAGCTCTGTGAACAGCTCATCTGTCAAGGTGGGACATGTTACTCTGTAACGGAGGAAACCCACGTATTGCAGCCAGAGCCTATAGGAGAAACGCCTGCCTCCCCCTTGCGTGCCTGCGGACTAAGAATAGATCAATGTATCAGGCAAATCGGGATTAACGGGCGTTGTGCTCCAATCACAGAGCACACACACACACACACACACACACACACAAACAGGGGAGCCAAAACACAAAAAGTTCATTTTCATTGCCCATCACACTGTCATCATTTCTGCTGCTGAACGGCTTCCACGCTGCTGCTCCTTAATTCACACACACACACAGTCCAACGCCAACGCACAGCCAATAAAACAATGTAAAGCAACATCCTGTGTGAACAATGATTATGTCAGACCGCTGGCGAAACAACCCTCCAAATTCCCCACAAGGCTGGGCAGGTGTTTGTAACTAAGCGGTTAGTTATTTATCACCTGCAGACACCCCAGCCGGCCAAATTTCAACTCGCTGCGGAGCGCTCCGAAAATAAATTGTGCAATTAGAGAGGATGCCGCGAGCAAGCTGTCCCAACTAACCTGTCTGTCCTTTTCCGAGCGTCTTCTCCAAACGGTAAGGTCCCACGTAATTGGCGTGTTGGGCACCGCTGTTGTCTTTACCGGATGATGACATGTCGAATCTGTGTGAAAATTAGACACTTTATAATAAAGCGCAGACAATTAAAGAGTCCTGGCAGGAGGTCCAAGCCGCCGTTGTCTTTCTTTTAACTCCACAGCCTCTCGTCTTCCTCTCGCTCTCTGACTCTTTTCCCTACCTCACTCGCTGTTAGAGGAGGTGAGGCTCTCTTTTCTGTCCTCTTTTCTCCTATCGCTGCAGACGAGCCGCAAGTGCCTTGAATATCATTGTGGGTGAAAGCTGCGCTGCCGCTGTGCGTCTGTGGGAGGTGCTGCCGAGTACTCGTGGATGATTGACAGCCGATGCAACCAACCAGAGCACCGGATCCCCTCCTCTGCCGCCCCGTTTCTTGTTGCTGGAGCATTTTTGCTTTTTCCAGAAGAGCTGCAGGTTGTGATCTTAAAGAGTTTAATCCCGAATGAACAGTTCATTAAAAGCAAGGTAAGTGCCTAATAACATTTAAAGCATAAGCCGCAAAATTTAAATGCTCCCGTGAATGTGCCCATCAACTGAAGCCTTTTTAAAAAAATAAGAAATATAATGTAAATCTTCAACTTAAGCCCAAGATTTACATCTACTGTTAAGGAGCTCCTCTGATCAAATTCATTTGAAATTCTTCAAATATTTGTATGTTTACTCTCTGTCGTGCAATAAAAACCCTTTATCCATGATTATTCAAACATGTCTCACTTTCATTCAAATACTCCACTCAAGTATGAAAATATGCTGAAAAGAAAAGCTTAAAAAACTGCTTTCAAGTTTTCTCCTTACAGGTCACAAAAGGTCACTTGCACCCTCACATCTTAAATTCAGATTTATGGTAAGCACTGAGGAGCTTTTCACCTTAGGCAGATGAATGAGATCATTTTTGCTATCTACAAAACGAAGCTGAAATATCCAAGTGAAATAAAAATTAAGTGAAAGAATTGTACCCTGATTTCTTCATCTGTTGTGTTTTATGGTTTCTCACAGGCAAACCCGTGCAAGCAGTACACCGGTGTTATATTAAAGCTAGACTTAAATTCATTTGGGGTCATTCAAACACAAATTTATTTATGAATGTGCATCATGTGAGCGTAATGTGGGGGAAAAAATCCATAAAACAAGATTTTAGGGCTGACTTATGAGGTTCAAATTCCCTAATGACACTGAAATTAATCAAAAATAACAAAAGCAGTTGTCACGCAGTGACTCTGGTTCTTGCAGGGTCTGAAGTCCTGAGACTGTTACACATTTGCCTTTCCCAGTCTTGTCGACAATAAAGACTGAAGGAAAATGAAATGCCAAAGCTACACCGCAATTAGTCCGAACGGCATCTCTCATGAGAAAGCGTTACAGCGCTGATAAATATTTATACTGACTTTATTAACCGAGGACCTATTAATGCAGCTAAAACCACAGTGTAGGAGTTTCTTGTCTCCACCTCCCCTTCTTCCCTTTCTTTCAGTGTCCTTTCTCTCCTTTTATGCTCCTCTGTCTCTCGCAAGCGCGCGTACACGCCACGCAACACACACCCACACAGCGAGTGGAGTGTGTGCAGCAGTGGGAGAGTGTGTTGGCCCTGTGATTCATTTCACACCCCACTGGTCTGAGACCTGTGACTGTGGCTCTGGCCTCTGTCTGTTCCTCACACCCTGAGAGAGTACAGGTGTCAGGGGACACATGCAGGGGAAACACACGCACATATATTCATGCACGTGCACACGCACAAACACAACCGTGACCTCTAGTTACTTTTTTTTCTCCTTTTCCTTTTTTTTTTTTTTTTTTTCGAACAAAACAAGGTTGAGGAGGCTGCTGAAATATTAAGCAGCAAGAATTGCATCAACACCACACTTGAGGTTACTTCAAAGATGAGGATATTCCAGAAAGATTCACAGGCTTTCCTCTGAATATGCTCAATAATGCACACTCTACTGAATCATGGTCACTGCATTTCAATTATTGACTCCATAAGAAATTAAACTGTTACGCTGCTGCATCTTTGTGCATGTTTGCATGAATTTGACCATAAAACAGACCTTTTATGCTGTATTTTTATATCCTCTTACCAGATGGATGCTTGTATTAAACATAGGCAAAATTTCAAACAGTGAGGTCAGCAGATCTGCAAGTAACTCTCTGAGTAAAAAGCTCAGGCCTCGGACTGCTGCAACTACTCAGTTTCAGTTAGTTTTTTCTTGGTTTTGCATTATGTCAGTTGTAGGTTACATCCTTAACATGGTCACGTTAGGTACACAGCTCAGGAACCCCTCTGCTGCTGTTCAGACTCTCTGTTTGGAAGGACGAGCCAGTCAGAGAAAAGTTGACTTAAATAGAGGGGGAAGGTTGCAACTGCACCGAAACCCAGTGCAAGACAAACAAGCATTATTTTAAACTGTAAATCATGCAAAGCTACTTTAGTAGTAAAAAAAACTTTAAAAGCAGGTACAAGCCAAATAAGGAAATAATATTTTTCATGTTATTAATTCCACATATAAAGTTTTGCAACTGGCAAATTATTCCTCCTCACTTTCAATTCATGAGGCCAAGTTTACAGTCTGCACATGCCCCAGTTTAGTGCCTTTGAGGTCTATGTTGAGAATGTGTGCTGTATCCCCTGATGCCCTTCAACGCACTGGGAGCTAGGTTTGTGTGAGGAGGTGTGACCCAGAGTGTCACCCACGTGACCGCGCGGCACCAGGTGGACAGGCTATGTGATGTCAGCGCCAGGTGGGCTCCGTTTCAATAATGCATCATGCCCAGCACTGGCAGGCGCAACACTTTGAAGTGTTCCAGAAACATCTGTAGCCTGAGTTTTTAATCACCTTGCCTGTACCTCCCTGCTTCCTATCAATCCATCTCCACTCCTTCGCAGCCCACACCCCCACGCCCAACCCCCTTTTTCTGCACACAAATTAACGAGGAGCCTTCTTAGTTCGTGTGCGAATGTGTTTATGTGCATTATTTACATGCGTTAACACACACACAGAGCCACCAAGCTGCAAAATCCAATCAGAAGGATAAACACAATTCAGAAAGAGCTTCTTGTCTTCTGGATGTTTGCTGAATATTCAGTGGAGCAAGAATTATCAAAGAGTTGTGTTAGATAACACAAATTTACCGACGGCCAAAAAGCAATCGGCTGCAACTGGAGCCTCCGACACTCCACAGCATGAGCATACTAATAGTGTGTTGCCAAACAAGTAAACAATTTTGAAATTAAGATATAAAAATGCCCAATAAAGGTGTAAGATCTCTTTAACAGAAATGATCAGGTTTGATGTTTGATACATCTCTCTCTCTCTTTCTGTCTGCTTTGCAGAAATGTGATGAAAGACGAGGTGTGCCAGAGAGTAAAACACAGAGGGAGGGAGAGAGATGGATATAGAGAGAGAGGTTTACTAAAAAGTGCAACATATTTGATGTGCGGCAAGAGTCCAATAACCTCTGGACGTGACAGGAAGCCCAGACTGCATAATTACTTCACCATACTACCATGTAATGAATAGCTTTATAGGAGAGTCTGACCAAATCAAGAGGGGGCCATAAACACATTAACTCATACCGAATGTGTGCACATAGGAAATCCCTCGCCAACACACAAATTCACTCTCTTGTTGTAGTGTAGCCAGTAACAACTGCCACACACGCACAAACACATATGTGTGAACTTGCAGCCCTTCAGGGTTGTACAAACTGGTTATTGCCAGCTAGCTGCATGTCAGAAGCTGTTGGTTGCTACTGGACTGGCCAGCATAGAGTGCTTGATTAATTAGAGTGTCATCCACATACAGAGACTATTAGCGATCATCTGCAAACATTACAAAACTGGGGAGAAGAGAGATTAATGAAAGGGCAGTGAAGGTGAACCGTAAACCAAGCACCCAAAGGGGAAATAATACAGAATACTCTCTCCACGTCTGAAGCAGATCTCCACCCAAGGACTTCTATAGTCGGGTTTTCATTTCCACACCTTGCGTGCAGGTTTGTGGGCATATACGTGCTTTTGTCTGCTGAGGTTCACACAAAAAAGGTGAATAAAAGGATAAAAGTTAACAGAAGCAGGGTAACTATATACTCAAGAAAGGCTGATAGCTTTGAGAATAACACAAAAAGGCTGGTTACATGTTCGCAGCAGGATCACATTGCACGGTCACATGTACATATCTGGGGATAAAATATCATAATTATCAAGAGGCTAGAGGAGATTTGTCCACATCTCAGAGGGTGTAAGAGGACTTTAAAATGTGGGACACATGAGCCACTTATATATATATATATATATATATGCAAATGACTGGTATCACACACATTGATTGAAAAACACACCCATACACAAGACACACACAGACATATGCTCCACCATCCAGCATGTTCATGTACCATGATCAGTGGTCAGCTGGTGTTCATTTCAAATGTCACCACAGTATGTTAGTTGTACACTGACATGCCCGGGAGTGGAGCCGTGGAGGGAATATTCTTCACAGGGAATAAGCCTCTCTGTCTCTGCGTTTCACTGTCACACCTCTGCAGCTCCACTGCCCCCTGCTGGTTAAAAATAATAACAATAATTTACATTCTACCACTAGCAGCACCTCTTTAACATCCATCTTCACAATGTTCTAATAATAGGATAAGGAAATGCTGATCGCCCCGTTTTAGTTATGACAATAGACACATTTATACAGTTTTTTAAACATTTCCAGACAAAATCTTGGCAGAATAAAGTGACGCTCTGTCTCAGATTTTCTCGGCTCTCACACAGTCTCACACATCTCATCTTTCTTTACTGACATCATGAAATCACAACCACACTCATCTGACCCAGTTTGCTTCTGTTTCTGCTCTGTGGTGCTGCAGCCTTTAAGCCCTCAACACTTCAGTTAACAGAGAAATATGCTAGAATTAAGGTGTGCTGCTCTTTCCTATTGTGACTCATGAGAGAGATGATTACATTTTCAATATCAAACAGAAAAGAAACCTTCAATCAAGCCCTATTTTTTAAGCTTAAGAAAATTTAAGCTGGGGCTGCGACCAATGGGGTTATCTATGAAGGCATGGAGAAATACCTTCGTTTTAAGCACACAACTGCATGCAGCTAGCTACTTGTGCCTTTACAAACATGCTCAGACACAAAGCAGGCATTTCCTCTTTAATCATAGCTTTCTGCCATTACGAAGAACGTAATTGCAGTATTAGATGCAAACTGTTAGTAATCATGTAGAGGGTTTGGCTGTGCCGTTG